TACTTTCTTCGTTCTAATTCAGATTTCAATTTTTTTTTCTTTTTTGCATAGATGGAAGTTTGTTGTGCTCTACAAAATGAGATCCATTTTCAATATTTTTTTAGAAAAAAATTTTCATACCTCTCATTACCAACTCCATACCATATGGTATCTCCTTCATTTTAAGTCATTTTTGAAATTTTTTGTACAAAAGGAATGAGTTCATCATGATTTACTGGTCTACAAATTTTTGGGTGAACAAAATACAGACCAGAAAATACAACACAATACCACCATGGTATGGGGGGTTGTCGAATATTACGAAAATAAAGAACACCAAAGTTTTTATTGTGGTTTCGTCAAATCGACACTAGTCCACGGTGAGGATCTCTCTCACAGGTTGTATGATTTTTGTATTACTTGATACTCTTCTTCATATGTTACACAAGTATATATAGGTTTACAAATCTAGACCTAGCCAACCCTATATTGTACAATTACACATTCGTACTACAATAATATAATTAACACCCTCACTTAAATTGATGTTGGGTTACTAACATCAATTTGCAAGACAAGTACCAATGTTGGCTCGAAGAAACTGCCTTGGTCAACAAATCTGCAGTTTGGTCCTCTGTTGACAAATGACTCAACTATATCACGCCTTCTGCAACTAGTTATCGATGTAGTGCACATGTACTTCAATATGTTTAGTACTGTCATGAAGAACATGATTGATAGCTATCTGAATAGCACTTGTATTCTCTTTATACATTCGCATAGGTAGCTTACACTCGAATCCCAATTCCTGGAATAGGCGCTGCAACCAAACCATGTATAAGCTGAGTTCTCACATATATGTGTATTTTGTTTCTGTTGAAGATTTAGAAACTTTATCTTGCTTCATGCAACGCCAAGAAATGAAAGACCTTCCAAATCTCACACACCAGCCAGAAGTAGACTGTCTCGTGTCAAGACAGCCTGCATAATCTGCATCAGCGAACCCTTCCATCTCTGGCTTACCATCTGCATGAAAGACCATTCCCACATCCTAAGTATACTTCAAGTCCCAAAGAAACTAGCGTACTACATCCAAAAGAGATGTGCGAGCAACACCCATAAACTTACTAACATTCTGAACAACATAGGCGATATCTGGGCGAGTATGAGTAAGATAAATCAAGCTCCCAACAATACTTCTGTAAAACGTTTGATCTTCTAGTGTTTCCCCACTCTCTCTACTCAACTTCAAATTATGTTCCATAGGAGTAGAGCATGGTGGACAATTACTATTCTAAACTGTCCCAAGAAGATCCAACATATACTTACACTGACAGACAAAAGACCCTTGTCAGAGTGAGTGATTTCTAATCCCAAAACATAAGAAATATCGCTTAGTTCCTCGATATTAAAAGCCGAATGTAAGGCCCTAGTTAAATCCTTTAACCCCTCTATGTTGCTTCCTATCACAATCATATCGTCGACAAAAAGGAGCAGGACAACCATCCCATGCACAGTATTCCACATAAACATAGAGGGATCACTTGAACTTTGCGTGAAGCCTGCCTGCAGAATAGTACTGTGAAACTTGTCAAACCAAGCTCGTAGAGCCTGCTTCAACCCGTAGAGTGATCGTTTCAGCCTGCAAATCACCCCCCCCCCTTGTCATAGTCAGGAGGACATTCCATATAAATGGTTTTCTTCAAATCACCATGCAGAAAAGCATTTTGTTTACATCAAATTGAACTATAGGCCTACCTTTAAGGGGTGCGACAGCAAAAATGCTTCGAACAATCTATAAACGCACAACAGGAGCAATTGCCTCATCATAATCGATGCCAAATTCCTGTCAAAATTAATGTTGCACCATACGTGCCTTAAACCGCTCAGCAAACCCGTCAGGATGCATCTTAACATTATAGATCCAACGACTGCCAAAAACTAAGACACCATGTGTGATTGGCTTCCAAGGCATCAACTTCAACCTTCATGGCTGCATCCCACTCTGGATGACCAACAACAAACCGATAGTGACTTGGGATGGGAATTAGTTCTGCAGAAAAACCGACATAATCCTGCAGTCGCAAAGGAGCCTAACCTAGAGTAGAGTGCTGACTGCGATGAAGAACAGGTTGAACGTCATCATGGGAAGGAGAAGACACGACCAAGTGTTGGGTGGATTAGGAGGAAGCCGAAGGCTGAACACCACTAGAAGCGAAAAAAGAATTGGTGGAAGATGACGGGGAGCTGGTCGGACTACTAGAACCGGAAGAACTGCTCTCCCCATATGAGCTCCACATAGTGAGCTGCAGAGAACCCGACGGATTAAGGGGAGGAGATGGAGGATATGAATCATCGGGGACTACATGCGGCGGAACTAACTCGATCTAACTACAACATCCCAATAGTCAAATCGGAGTGCTTCATTAGTACGATATTGTCCGCTTTGGGCCAAGCCCGCACAGATTTCCTTTTGGGTCTCCTTCCCAGAAGGCCTCGTACTAATGAGCTTGGTGGACACTAATATATAAGGGTTCCTTCCCTTGTATTTCCGATGTGGTAATTGGAATGTCCCATAACAATCCTCCCCTCAAGACAAGGATCACGAACTTCGTGTCCTCTCCTTGGCGATTATCTTGATCCGCCAGACACCTTGTATCGATGGACTTCTTGCTACAAGAATTTTCCCAAACGCAGAACTCTCTTTTATCCGCCAAACAAATGTGGATCTCTCCTAGATTCACCAGAAAAATGCGGACCTCCCTTGATACGCCAAACCAGATGTAGCCCAAACGTGGATCTCGCATGGATCCACCAAACCAGACGCAGATATCAAATCTTGAGGTCACCGATTGTGGGTCCACCAAACTGACGTCCACCGTCCCGAACCGAACTAGGCTCTGATACCACTTGTCAAATATTGAGTTGCTCCATTAGTACGATATTGTCCGCTTTGGGCCAAGCTCGCACGATTTTACTCTTGGTTGTCCTCCCCAAAAGGCCTTGTACTAAAGAGCTTGGTGGACACTAATATACAAGGGTTCCTTCCCTTGTATTACCGATGTGGTACTTGGATTGTCCCATAACAATCCACCCCTCAAGACAAGAACCACAAACTTCGTGTCCTCTACTCATGAATTATCTTGATCCGCTAGATGCCTTGTATTGATGGGCTTCTCGGTACAAGGACTTTACCAGACGCAGAATTCTCTTTGATCTGCTTTCCAAATGCGGAACTCTCTTTGATCTGCCAAAACCCAACCGTGGATCTCTCCTATCAAAGATAAGATCGAAGAGAATGAAACGCACTCCGCCGTGGAAAGAGCCGCTTCTTTCTTGCTTGATAGGGGGCATTTACCAGCGCGGACTAAAAGTGCTCTCCGAACCGTGCTGGATAGTCACCCATCACACGACTCTCACTTAAACCCAACCTGTGGTGGATCTCGCGTGACAAATTAAAAGCTCTTGATCTTTGGCCCCATACTTTGAGATGCTCCTCCCCGTCGATCAAGCAGCGACGCTGCTCGTGATAGTCCTAGCTTTAAGCCTCTATCGTTCGCTTCGGATAAGTAAAGTCTCTTTGGTCGGTTTGCTCAGGTGCAAAAAGGCTGCTAATGGATGGATGTAAGAGGACTTGTAGATTCGTTCATCTCCTGATGAAATTTATTTCCCGGACCTGGGTAAGAAAGTCATTTGTGACGAGAGTACTAAACCCATATTATTCCAACCGCTTTCAAAAGAAAGGGTCTGCTGATGTATGGAGCTGAAGTTCACGGTCTTATGACCGTGAACTGACTTGGCGTCAGTAACGTCTCGAATGGCTCTGGACACCCTTTAGTTCACGGTCCTGGTGACCGTGAACTCGCTGCTTGGACCGTGAACTACGGCAGCTTTCTTGGACACTTTTCAACCTTCGATCGAACCGAAACTCGCCCTCGACCTTCCCACACGTGCTAGGACCTGAAATGTAATAAAACAAGCACAACCTAGCTTAAAATAGGTCAAGGGACTGTGATCTTCTAAAACAAACGGACAAGAAATGAAGGGTAAAATGTGTACATTCGGACCCGAATCAGGAACAAGCACAATCATAGGACCAAAATTAGGTAAGGAGCTGAAGAAATCCAACATGGGAAGATGATTTTTCTTTGAAACAGAATAAAACATGACATGTTCAAGAAAGAGCCACATGATAGAAAATGCGCATACGTCGTTCAGCAAGATCATAACACAAATAATCATTGTGACCATCACTATAACTCAAAAAGACACAACGACCAGTTTTGGATTCTAGCTTATGTCGATCCTTCTTAGGGAGCATCATAAAGCATACACAGCCGAAAACACACAGCCATGAATAGTCTGGTTGGCGAGAGTGAATACAAAAGTAGGGAGACCAATTCTGCATATGGTTGTAAGCTGACGATTGATCAAGTAGACTACGACATTTATAGCTTCAACCCCAAACCACGCAGGAACCTGAGACTGCAGAAGAAGAGCTCGAGTTAGCTCAAGCACATGACGATTTGTTCGTTCTATCAGACCATTCTGTTGAGAGACTCGGGCAGGATTGCTGATAAATGATACCATTTTCCTGGTAAAAGGTCATGAGGGGTGTAGATAGGGATGGCAATGGGTCGTGTTTGGTCGTGTTTTGCCAAAACCAAACCCATGGGTTTATCCGTGAAATAAACCCGGGGTAAAACCCACTGGGTTTGAAAAACTCAAACCCAACCCGATGGGTATCCGCGGGTTCATGGGTACCCACGGGTTTTTGTCGTAAAAAATTACTATAACAAGTTCCTATCAAAATTAAAGTCAAATATCAATCTCCCAACACAAAATTATCCATATATAAAACATCATTCTAGAAAGTTCAAGAAAATCACAAATTAACTATACAAATTGTTCAACACCAATCGAGAAAACTCAAGAAAATTGAAGCAAATCACAAATTTATCCATAAATAACATGATTAATTCAAAGCTTATTCCTTTCAATTAATTTTCTTCACTTTCCACTCGATAACATCAACTTCATTCTACTCAATTAGAAAGAAAAAATTAGACATGTCTCCACAAACATAAATAAGATTAGTTGTTTAGAATATTAAATATACCGAAAAATTAATTATATGAGTGTGGGCGGGTACCCATGGGGCGGGTTTACCTAAACCCAAACCCAACCCGGTGAATAGTGAACAGGTTGAAACCCAAACCCGGCCCAAAACCCGTCAACACGGATTTTACCCGCGTTGACCGGGGTGGGTCGGGTGGGTACCCGTGGGTTTGGATTTTGTTGCCATCCCTAGGTGTAGAGCTTAATTCTCCACCAGGGTCTGACCGAATAATCTTGAGTGTCTTCCCAAACTGAGTCCGGATTAATTGCACAAAGGCAATGGCATGATCAATCAATTCATATTTACAATGCAAAAAATAGATCCAGGTATACCGCATCGCATGACCAATGAATAAAGAAAAATACCGGTATACCATACGAGAAGTGACAGGAGGCGGACTCCTAAGATCAGTATGAATCAAATCGAACGGAGAGTCTTAGACTGTAATGCTCGAAGAGAAGGGAGATTGGGAGGTTTTTGCCTCAATACAATAAATGCAAGGAGATGGATGAGTAAAACGAGAACCCAAAGAATCAGGCAACAAAAGCCATTGAAACACAGTGAGAAGTCGGGCATTATGAGGATGACCAAGTTGATGATGCCATAAATCCCAAACTGAGTTCGTACATTAAAATCCAAACTGTCTAGAGGCCAAATAGAAAAGGCCAAAGAATCACTAGAATCAACAAAAAAATCCGAAATGAAATCCTCATCAATAGTAAACTGAGCAACATCAGAAAACTCATCCATAGAAGCGCTCGAAGATGAGCGGCCAGCCACATCTTTGTCCACCAGAAAAGATGAATACCCCTGCGAGTGCGAGCCCCCATATTCTTGAAGAACAAAGTCCCGACCATCCTTTTTATCCTTGTCCAGTACCTTCCCCGTCATCCGATTTTACATAATAAAACCTTGATTATCAAACTTAACCTCACACCCATCCTCCTTAACTGGCCAACCGAAACAAGCTACGAAACCGGATCAGGAACAAATAAAGTATTGGAAAGACAGATAGAGCAAGTAGAAGTCGTGCCAACAACACGAGTAGGAAGCTTAGCAACATTAGCCACTTGCAAAGAGGATGTTAGCCCATAATTCTAAGTCACAAAATGAGAACAATCATTAGACATATGATTGAATACAGCTGAATCAAGAAACCAATGAGAATGAGTACCTTTAACCCCACCAGTAGCAAAAGCAGAGTTAAGAGCATGAGGCAAAGCTTCCTATAGTTCCTCATCAACCAGGCGACGCACCTCATCCGAAGTGAGACTAGAGGAGGACGAACCAATAGCAAGAACCGCAATCACGACATAACCAGACCGAGCGTACCCAGGAGCCCTGCGCGACCAGAGAAAGAACCAGCCTTGTTGCGGCGTCCTGCAGACTTGCAATCGAGATAATGTGCACTGACTGCTTACAATAACTGCAAATATTCGGCTTCCTGCAGTGGGGCTGAATGTGACCCACATCCTGACATTAATGACAAGTAAGATGACTGATGGAGCTCTGCTAAAACTAAGGACAAGAGGACCCTGAGTGCCCAACTGCAAACGCAACATTAGAAGAAGTGTCAAGCTTGGTAAGACTACAGAGACAGGTCTCTTCCTGAATTAAATCGCTAAGAGCGGTATCAATGGAGTCAATATTGTGATGAAGAACAGAAGCCCGAATTGCCTCAAACTCATGTCGGAGTATCATAAGAAGCTGCATAAGGCGAGAGCGATTCCGGTCCTAGAGAATGGCGGCTATAGAAGGCTCAGCGGCCAAGGATGCAGCAAGCATATCCTGTTATGTGTTAGAGAGTGGTATAAGATCCAACAGAATCTTCTCCCAAAAACTCGAGTTATTGGGATCAACTGGTTCTTGATATGGTATCAGAGCTAGTTTGGCCAAATGATCGTGTGTTCGAATCTCCTTGACCCCCAATATTAACAATTGATTAAAGCACAAGGTATGGTGGGCCTGTGCAAACTTCAAGCCCATGGGTTGGCTTTCGTTTGAGGGGGCGTGTTAGAGAGTGGTATAAGATCCAGCAGAACCTTCTCCCAAAACCTCGAGTTATTAGGATCAACTGGTTCTTGACATTCTGTCTAGAGAGTGACAAAGTGCTGATAATAAGAATGTATATCACGATCCCCCTGAGAAAACCTAGCCAGTTCATGCTCAAGCTTGTACTGACGAGAACCAACGAAGACTGAGATCGGTAGCAACATCAACAGAACCCAACAACTAGGAAACCAGCTAAGCATTGCCCACTGCCCAGTTTTTGTGATCTTTGGCAGGCGCAGTGGAGCTGGCGGAGGAGCCTGGCCAGTGAGGAGAGGAAGCTGTCAGGGAAACGGTAGGAAAGAATCGGATTGAAGGCATGATTAATCACTCTCCTTAGAGTGTTATTTGCCCCCACTACAAATTGCTGGTAGGCTCGAGCAAACCACCCCCAGGAGTCCCTTCAATTTTAAGTCTGGAAGCAGCAATCTTGCAGACTTTTGTGTTTATGAAATAGAGAAGGAAAACCGACGGTAGGAAAGAATCGGATTGAAGGCGTGATTAATCACTCTCCTTAGAGTGTTATTTTCCCCCACTACAAATTGCTGGTAGGCTCGAGCAAACCACCCCCAGGAGTCCCTTCAATTTTAAGTCTGGAAGCAGCAATCTTGCAGACTTCTGTGTTTATGAAATAGAGAAGGAAAACCGGAAGAAGAAGTAATCTCACGTTATCAAAAGAGTTATGACAATCATCTATTTATAGTTGTGAAAACTGGAAGTTATCTTCCGAAGAGTCACATCCTTTCACAAAACAAGGTAGTTACCTCTCCCGAAAGGACACATCCTTTCACAGAAAAGGGAAGTTACCTTTCTAGAAGGACACTTCTTTTCACAATATTCAAACGCTAACTAATTAATATAAAAATTAATTAATTAATTGAACTGCCAAAAGACTCCATCTTTATACTTTACTTCTCCCATCAATGTCGTATTACAACTCTATTGACTAATTCTAACAATCCCCCACTTAGTCAACAAGAGTTGAGAATACCTGCCTCGAACAAGTAACGCATACATAAAGGTATCTTTTCGATTTGAACCTTTACCTAGTGTAAACAACTCAAAGTTGATAACGAATCAGTGACGGGCTTAAGTCTAGGAGTCACGATCCAAAGCTATAACCGGAGATGCCACACACGTACTTGTCTCTTCTCTAAACCACAACCACCAACTAGGGTAGCACTATTATGGCCATGTGCTGATCCTGTTTCATGAGCATATACAAAAGTTGACCTCCACTTTTGTTAGAGCGGCACCACTCTAAATGCTCACATAGGTGACATTCCAAATGAATTCATTAAGAGTTCTATAACTAATCTCAAGAGTTCTATAACTCACCCTTCTTTGGACTAATTTACTTGTACAATAAATTAGTGCCTCTGTTAGAGTAACTTGTTATTACCACATTGAACCTTTTAATTAGTGAATACCTAAAGAAAAGGTTGGGTTCCCGTTACTTCTAACTACACAAGAGGTCTCAATCCCTTCCCTTGGGATGTCTCATAGATCATGCCTCTGGGCTATCCCTTGGCAAGAGGATCTGCTAAATTATTGCTTGATCTTATATACACAATAGAAATGATTACATTAATAATCAAATATCTAACGTAACCATGTCTTAGGCTATTATGTCTAGACTTACCATTGTAAATCTTGCTATAAGCTTTAGACAAAGTAGCATCACTATCACAATAGACAGAAATGGCTGACATCAGTTGTAGCCACAACTCGATATCTAACAACATCTTTCTTAGCCGTTCTGCCACATTTCCAGCCGCCGGACGGGCTAGAAATTCATCTTCCATAGTGGAGTGTGTAACACACTTTTGTTTCTTCAAAACCCAAGAAACAACTCCATCACCTAGTGTAAAATCCACCAGTTGTAGATTTATTATCACTAGAACTTGCTATCCAACTAGCATCAAAACCATCTCCCCCACAATTCTTCCACTTGCCGAACTATCATGGAATAATTTTATTTTCCATGGTATTACCTATTGAACTTTCCACCACCTCATTGATCTAATTGTTTACCAATGATATGAACTAATTAGATTAGTATACCACAAACAATTCAGATATTATTAGAAATATCATCTAATTACTTACCAATGGAATTGATCAAGGTAACTTGAGATGTCACAAGTAATTCAGTTGCATTTCCAGATTGTATTGGAAATACCATCTAATTACTTACCAATGACAATCATCAAGGTAACTTAACATACCACAAGCAATTCAAATGAATATTCTAAATCAATGGTCTAATTACTTGCCAATGGTATGCACTTCATAAATATACCATAAGTAATTAAGACTTTAAGTTCAATACGACCATCTCAATTGAGCTCTCATGCCAAATTATTTTCCAATGATATAGTGTACATATACCATAAACAATTCTGGCAATGATTATTTTGATGATCACCATCCTTTGGCAAGCTTTATTCAATCCCTGTAAGGATCCATCTCAGTTTCATTTTTCTTGCCCTCATGGCATATGAAACATGAAGTCATAAACCAATACATGATAATCAAATTACCATGTCGGGGAACGCTTTTCACCATTATTTCAATTTACTTCAAGATCACAATTCAAAAACAATTTTGTTATCTAAACCAAATTGTTTCATCTTGCAAGCACCAAAATTAAAACTCATACAAATTTTGGTGATAAAATTTGTTACAAGAATTCAACGTGAATACTTCCAAATTCAAACACAATTGAATTTTCTTCAACTCTTCTCATAATATGAATTATGAGTTTGTTCTCTTCTCAAATACTATCATAGTATTCAACTTCATTAACCAGAAGAGTTGGAGAATCATTCTTACGGAAGTATATATACACACATACATACAAACATTCATGCTTATATATATATGACTAGATGCATGAACTGAAACACATCAAAAGATGGTTAATCATTCAACTAATTAATTACTTATCAATTAGTAAACAAACTATCCGGGTGCAGAGAGTGATTAATTTCTATTATACATGAGGAACTATGATTTCTTTTTCCTCTTTCTTTCGTAATGGCAAGAAACAACCAAACATATATAATCGGGACAGGAACCGAATTCCTTTCAATATATATGTATGTATCTACATATGCCTCCAATGCATTCATTTTGCAACTTATGCATGGCATACTTTCAAACAATTCCAATGCATCCATGCTTTACATCCAAAAATTTAACGGACAGGGACTAAGAATTACCTGTTTTATTTTTTCCGATGACTGCCAAAAGCCCATTTTCCCTCTCGGTAACCAACCAAAAGAATGAACCAGCCAATGTAATTGCAAATGCATGGATGAAGAGCAGACATAGCCACTTCGCCAGTGACGAAATGGAATGTCTATCGCCAGTGTACTACCACCATCATTTGCTTCTTTTACTCTTGCCACGCCTTCAAAGTTCTCCCCACTCCAAAATCCATTTTTCCAATAACAAAATAACACTCTAAGATTGTTAAGGAAACGGTAGGAAAGAATCGGATTGAAGGCGTGATTAATCACTCTCCTTAGAGTGTTATTTGCCCCACTACAAATTGCTGGTAGGCTCGAGCAAACCACCCCCAGGAGTCCCTTCAATTTTAAGTCTGGAAGCAGCAATCTTGCAGACTTCTGTGTTTATGAAATAGAGAAGGAAAACCGGAAGAAGAAGTGATCTCACGTTATCAAAAGAGTTATGGCAATCATCTATTTATAGTTGTGAAAACTGAAAGTTACCTTCCGAAGAGTCACATCCTTTCACAAAACAAGGTAGTTACCTCTCCCGAAAGGACACATCCTTTCACAGAAAAGGGAAGTTACCTTTCTAGAAGGACACTTCTTTTCACAATACTCAAACGCTAACTAATTAATATAAAAATTAATTAATTAATTGAACTTCCAAAAGACTCCATCTTTATACTTTACTTCTCCCATCAATGTCGTATTACAACTCTATTGACTAACTCTAACAGAAGCATGCAGCGACTCGCAACAAAACTCCTTAATTAAAACTCCCAGATTGGGAAATATTTCCCATCAAGCTTGGCAGAGACAACATCATTCTTTCCTGAATCCATGATCACAAGCAAAGTCGATGCCACATAAAAACAAAAGGGTAAAGAGTTCAAAGGGAGACAACAGCAGAAGGAACGCTGAAAGAAAAAGAACCGAGAGAGATAAATAAACATGAGAGAGGCGGCGGGAACATGCCGCTAGAAGAAGCTTCGAAGGAGAGCAAAAGGCGGTGATGGGAAGGCAAGCTGGGATGCCAAAAGAAACACCGAGAGCAAGCGGCCAGGGACGCCAAATAGAAGCGCCGATAAAGGAGAACGAACAACTGGGGAGGAACCGCAGATCGAGCACCAAATAAAACGGACGAGCAGCTGGGAAATCCAAAGGCTCAAGATAGAGTGAGTGACATTGGGTGAGTAACAATAAGTAATCAAATCTGGATCCTTCTTTAAAGGTGGTTGGAGATTTAAGGGTGGAGAATTAAAGAAATTTATTTTCCCTAGTTTTCTTAATTGGATTATATCTTCTTCATTCTAACTCGGATTTCAATTTTTTTTGCACAGATGGAACGAGTTCGTTGTGCTCTGCAAAATGATATCCATTTTCAATATTTTTTTAGAAATTTTTTTTTATCCCTCTCGTTACCAACTCCATAACATATGGTATCTCCTTCGTTGTTTAGTCATTTTCAGAAATTTTTGCACAAAAGGAACAATTTAATCATGATCTATTAGATTTCAATATTTTTCGGGGGGAAAAATTTCATACCTCTCGTTACCAACTCCATACCATACTATACCACCCTAGTATGAGGTGGTATTTTTCATACCATATGGTATGTTGTTATTTAATACCAGTCAATACCATATGGTATTAACTGGTAATAACTGACAAATTTTTTTTGTTCCAAAAAATATCAAAGTGGATATCATTTTGAATCGTTACCAGTTTCATACCATACTATACCACCCTGGTATGAGGTGGTATTTTTCATACCATATGGTATGCTGTTATTTAATATCAGTCAATATCATATGGTATTGACTATACCATATGGTATTCAATACCATATGGTATTGACTGGTAATAACTTGCAAATTTTTTTGTTTCAAAAAATATCAAAGTGGATATCATTTTGAAAAGCACAATTAATCTGATCTAACTGTGCAAAAATAATTTAATTCCGAGTTAAAACGAGTGAGAAATTGTCCGTTAAAGATTAAGAGAAAGAAAATTAATGATTTTTCCAGGAGAGAGAAGGAGGCGCTGATGTGGCAGATTCTTATTGGGTTATGCATGGGGTTACTCACCACAAGGTTACTCACCGGATCTGCTCCCGGACTCCAAATAAAAGACAGACGAGCACCAAGAGAAGCCGAGAAGCGCCGAGCAGCCTTGGAAATCGAGGACGAGCAGAAAAAAAATCCCAGCCGAATCAAAGGAAGATTGCGATCAATCAAGCAAGGAACCTCAGATTGCATGCTTTGATACCATGTCAAAGATTACGAAAATAAAGAAAACCAAATTTTTATAACGTTGTTTCGTCAATGCGACACAAGTCCAGGGCGAGGATCTCCCTTATAGGTTGTATGGTTTTTGTATTACTTAGATACTCTTTTTCATATGTTACACAAGTATATATAGGTTTACAAGCCGAGACCTAGTCGAGCCCTATATTGTACAATTACACATTCGTACTACAATAACATAATTAAAAATATCTTAAGGGTCATTTAGATGGGTGATTTTTTGTGGTGTGATATTTGTGAACAAATAACTCATTTTTTGTATTTGCAGTATTTGTGTGTTATTTATGTGTTAATTGATTTCAAATATCTTGTTTGGTTGGATAGTTATTTGCAATGTGGTATTTTATAACTATGAGTGAAAATACCAATTTGCCCTTTGCCCTTCTAAATTTGTGAAGAACAAACAAACCAAACCAACTAGGAAAGGCTTGACACCTTTGCTTGCTGCAAAACACACCAATTGCTGCAAAAATAATCCAGCAACTGCTTCTTCCTTGTCCAAAAAATCTAGTAGTATAATGAGCATATAAATCCAAAGAAGAAATCCCAATTAGCTATCTGCCTTTTCCTCTCGGAAGTAGATCAGGTCAGTAATCTTAGGATGAGTAACCATAAGTAATCCGTCCAAATCAGTATGACATCAACATCCCTCTCTCTCTCATAGAAAGCCGTTTATCTTTTCCCCTTTAATCTTTAACGGATGATTTCTCTCTCGTTTTAAGCCAAAATTTATATTTTTTGCACAGATAATCAGATTAATTGTGATCTTTAAAATGATATCCACTTTGATATATTTTTTGAACAAAAAAATTGAGTAATTTTTTACCAGTCAATACCATATGGTATGCTCCTATTTAATATCATATGGTAAGAAAGCGTACCATGATGGTATGAACATACCAAGTCTGTAGGAAGGTTGAATAATGATAGTAGGATTACACTAACTGTCATTTATGACTTTCATCATTGTATACCACAAGTTACCACCATCATACCAGAGTGGTAAAGTATAATAATTTTTATCCTGTGTTTTTTTCACCTAGAAATTTGTAGATCCAATAGATCATGATGAACTCGTTTCTTCTAAGAAAATATTTTCAAAACAACTTAAAAACGAAAATGTTACAATATGATATGTAGTTGATAATGGAAGGTATGCAAAAAAATATTCGCAAAATATATTGAAAATTGATCTCATTTTATAGAGCACAAAGAACTCGTTCCATCTTTGCAAAAAAATTTGAATCCGAGTTAGAACGAATAAGATAAGAGCCAATCAAGAAAACTAATGAAAATAAAATGTCTTTAATTCACAACTCATAAATCTAAATTTTTTGAACTCACTTAGATCTCATATAAAAGTGAAAATTTAATTACTCATAGGTCTGATCATATCCCAAGCCCTTCCTCCTCGTCCCAACTCCCAACAACCCATCACAATTCCCTATCACCATCTGCCGCTTCCTCCTCATCCTAACAACTAATCCAAATTCCCGGCAACACTTTCCTCTCCACCAGAAAATCAACCCACTTCATCAAACCAACAATCCACGAACCCCTAATTATTCTTTTGTTGTTCGATTTTGCTACTACAAAAGAATCACAGAGCAGAATCTATAGAACCCATAAACTAGAAAGAGCTTGAAACTGAAACAAGCCCTCGAATTGGGAAAAACAGGGATAATTTTCTAAATACACGTAAAAGTAAAACAAATTCCTAAACTATCAGACTTATAAAAAAAATTTCCCAAAATACCTAAGTTTGGAATGGTTCGAGTTTGAGGAACTCAAACTACTAACCGGTTCGAGTGTAGGAGACTCAATCTAGTCGTAGATCGATGATATAAGCCTCGAACCATGTGGGGTTGAACACTCCTTTGAAATTTCCAACAACCTTAACTTTGTGCTCGGTTATCCGATCGTAGCAAAAAATAATTTCATTTTGCATAACTTTTCGAGGACTACAACTTTTATAATAGACATATTTTCAGAATATATGTGAAAATGAGAAAATTAAAGTTAAAGTTACTCTTAAAACCCCTTATATTTAAAACTATTCCTATTTTGAAAATTTATTCCTAGTAAATGTTGTAGTACTCAAAAAATTATGCAAAATAAAAAAAAAACTTTGCGACGTTCAGATTGCGGAGCACAAAGTTATGATCCTCTAAAGCTTTACAAAATCAAAAAATTGCTCATTTAGGGGTAACAAATGACGTTTTCTCGGGGCGAAGGCACCGAAAATTTTATATATATATATAGGGAATTTCTGCCAAAAGAGCAATACTTTTCCAAACGAGAAATTTTTGGATGGCTATCTTCCGAGAAAACGTCATTTACTACCCATAAACTAGCAAAATTTCCGAATTTGTCAAACTTTGGAGGATCATAACTTTGTGCTCTGGAATCCGAACGTCGCAAAGTTTTTTTTTTATTTTGCAAAGCTTTTTAGTACTACAACATTTACTAGGAATAAATTTTCAAAATAGGAATAATTTTTAATATAAGGGGTTTTGGGAGTAACTTTAAATTTAATTTTCACATATATTCTGAAAATATTTCTATTATAAAAGTTGTAGTCCTCGAAAAGTTATGCGAAATGAGAAAAAAGTTTGCTACGATCGGATAACCGAGCACAAAGTTAAGGTTGTTGGAGTTCAGTCAGCTCCACATGGTTCGAGGCTTATATCATCGATCTACGACTAGATCGAGTCTCCTACACTCGAACCGGTTAGTAGTTCGAGTTCCTCAAACTCGAACCACTCCAAACTTAAATATTTTGGGAAATTTTTTTATAAGTGTGGTAGTTTATGAATTTATTTTATTTTCATGTATTTTTCAGAGAATTATCCCGGAAAACCCCGACAGAGAATCCAGAGCCTATAATTCGTATATAGCATGCAATGTCTCAACGATGACTATCGGCACTTAAAACAGTCGCCCACGCAGTTTGGTGTCGCTACCGCCGCTAAAGATTGACGATTCGCCTACTTTCTGCAACCCGACTCTGTTCGCCAAAGATTGAGATTGGTGATTCGCGAGAAGGAAGGAAAGCGAGAGCGCATGGATAGGGTCAAAAGGGGAAGGGAAGAAACATAGAACGCGTTATTTACAAATAACGGAGGATTATGTGGTATTTTCAATAAAACATCCACATTGGTATTGCATTTTGAATTGCAAAATGACATGACATAGGTGTTTGCAATTGCAAAACCAATTGCATTGATGTGGCTATCAATTGCATATTTGCAAGCTTGCAACAAATGCAATTCCATATGCAAGTAAAAAAGCCTAAAAAATGGGGATTTTTATTTTATATTATTTTCTTTTCTCTTTTACTTAACTTTCTATAGTTTAAACATAATTTTTAATTACATTTGCAATTGCAAGTTAATTGCATTGATGTAGGTGAATGAAATGAATGTGATGTGGATTGCAAAAAAATTGAGTTGACAATAAAAAACACAAATGCAATTTCATTTGCAATTGCATTGATGGAGATACTCTAACGCGTTTTGCATTATTTCAAAATAACCCAACCCCCAAACAACCCATCTCCCCCGTATGGATCCAAACAAGTTTGTTATTTCTGGCAAAATAATTCATTTGGGCCGAAATAATTCATGGAAATATTCCATCCAAATGACCTCTTATTGTATACAATGTTGAAAGTCGTAAATGACAGTTAGTATACTCTTATTATGTATTCAACAATTCTACAATCTTGATCAGATATGTTCATACCATCATGGTACGCTTTCATACCATATGGTATGATCTTATTTTAATACAAATCAAGATCATCATGGTATAGACTAGTAAAAAATAGGGTTATAGGTATAATATGCCCCTCTACTATGTAGTTTTATCAAACATGCCCCTCTACTATTTTTTACATCAAACATGCCCTTGTACTTTGGAAAAATGATCAAACAAGGCCTTCTGTTAAAATTTCCATTAAAAAATTGCCAATCATGGTTGAAGCGAAATGTAAATGACCCGACATCGGCAAATGAGAGCGAAAATGTCAGTTTTGTTCCCCATTTTATTTTTCTAGGTCTCGTTAAAGTGAAATTATTAGAGGTATTTGGCTCTACAAAAGAACCCAAATTTTTTTTAGGGTTATACCTATAACCCTAAAAAATACCTCAATTTTTTTCCAAAAATATAATAAAGTGGATATCATTTTGAACAAGATAATTAATATGATTTAACTGTGCAAAAAATTTAATTTTTGACTTAAAATGAGAGAAATCATCCGTTAAAGATTAAAGTGAAAAAGATTAAAAACTTTCCATGAGAGAGAAAGGGGTACTGATGTGTCGAATTCTGGTTGGGTTACTCGTGATTACTCACCACAAGGTTATTAATGGAATCTGCTCTTCGCTGCAGCGAGCCGTTTTTCTAATAATAAATGACAGAAAATTAAGTTCCTTTCTATCTACAAAATAATTCACTTTTGATATACTTTACGTTTTTTTAAGAATATTTTACTTTTTCTAACTCGGTGACTACTTTGATGCACTCACAAAAACGAGTGCGTTCAATGCACCCAACTCAAAAACTAGTCATAAGGTGTCGGATTTTAAATTTTAATTTGTAGAATTTGTGTAATATGATGATATAACATATGATAACAACTAATTAGCGTATTACCCTAAGCCCTAGACCTCCAATTTTGAGTTCTATCCCTAAACCCCAAATTGTAAACCCTAACCCTAAATCTCTAAACTCTAAATCCCTCAAATTAAAGTAAATCTTTTAATGGTTTTTGTGCAAGTTCATGTGCGTTATTGTTCATAACATCATAATTGATGATTAACATCATTTTGACATAAATCACATGTTTAAAATGACAGTTGTGAAGTGAGTGCACTGAATGCACAAAAAAAAGTGAGTGCACAGAAGACGTCACCTTTCTAACTCATACTATTTCAGAAAAAACTTCTCAAATTTCAAAAAAGTTCCACAAATTTGCAAACAAATCTCAATATTTTTAGGGCTAATACCACTAGGAAACCCAAACTATAAAGAATGTGTTATTTGTGTCCTAAAGTATCTAATATGACATTTGTGTCCCAACCTATTATAGTTTTGTGTCATTTATGTCCCAACCCGAACTATTAAGAATATGCAATTTGTTAAATACTAACGGTCAACGCCGGTTAGACCGAAAAATAGTTTATGATACAAATGTCATATTAAATACTTTAAAACACAAATGACACATTTTTAATAGTTCGGATTTCCTAGTCGTATTATCCCATAGTTTTATTCATTTGTGCGCTCCATACATAATTGACTCAACCAAAGCAGTGCGTGGAGGATCTGCTCCACACCGTCCTACATTTCCAGCTGAGTTCCAACAAAGGATCGACCAAAGAAGAAAGGGGTACAACAATGGCCAGACAGTGACATGCTTCACGATATACATCACCAGGTCCATTACTACTACGCTTATCAGTAATAACTACTATCTTTTAACCATGAAAGTTGTATACGTCTGTCTAAGCTGTACAAGTGATACAGTCCAACCTCCCTAGTCCAACAAGGTCACACTAGTTGATCCATTATCGCTAAGCTCGAATCCAGATTTCTGTGCGAGCTCCGACAGCGTAAGCTCTCCATTCAAAACCTGCCATCCAGAATTACAACACAAGTCAGTCGACTTGCAGGCTCCTTACGAAGGAATCCCATGACCACTGGCACAAGTTATGATCACATTTTCTAACTCAACGCATGTTTTAGCATATAGTCCAATTGGAAAGTTGGGCAGTTCCTCACCTCGCCATTGATCACCCACGTTGGGAAACCCTTGATATCTGCAGCTACACATTCCAGAGCCATTTTCGTGTTTTTGTTCAATCCATCAGGGAAACATTCGACATAGTTCAATAGTTTGGCTGCCTCTTCACCAAACATCTGCATCAATGAGACCGAGAAAAACAACTAGTGAAAAAAGCCACTCAACACTTAGAAATATGAAATAAGTCATAGTAGCCCTATGAAAATCATGATATTTCATTCTAAAGATTCTCTCCTTTAGCTGCTTTCAGTTAGTTTCAAATGTTTATTATCCTTCCTATAGTCTTTACTAGAACAGGTTAGTTTCAAATGTTTATTTTCCTTCCTATAGTCTTTCTATAATAGAATGTGGTCAACTGCAGTTACCACTTCTGCACAGTCCTGCAATTTCTTATTCTTGTCATATTATAACAAACAGACACCTACATATTGCAATTACCAGTTCCAACAACCTTTCCACTGAGACGGAATAACAAATCGATAAAGCAAGAAAGTATATAAACGAACATATTTACGTGGTTCACTAACGATGTGTGTTAAGCTAGTTCATGGGTAGGAGAAACTAATTTCACTATTTTGAGAGAATTACATAGAATAGAGGGTTTAGAAGGTTTATATAGACAACTCCTCCAAACTCTAAACGAAATGCCAGACGGGTTCAATACATAAGTATAGAAACTCATACACCATTAGCATTGCCCCGAACCCCCCATCAGGGGAAACGTTGAGCCCCCAAGCACCCAAATCTGGCACTTCATCCCTGGACCCCAACTTGCTGGCCAGGTAGCGAGACCCCTGTGACTCCCAATCGATGGCAGATAAATAGATTCAAACCATATCAATGTATAAGAAAAAAGTACCTCTTTCTGCTCGATACAGTGTGAACACCAGAATGCCCCGTACATTCTTGCACCAATTGAACGTAGATGCTTTGCAAGAGAAATGGTAAAAGGAGCTGAAGGTGTTGTTATCTCAGTTGGGATATATTCCAGGTTGATTTCAGGTTGCCTGAGAAGACGGAAAAGCCAGCAGTGGACATAAGAATCCGGCCAAGACAGCCAACACATGCATACAAACTATGCAACCACTACAAGGGTTAAACATCAAAGAACATAGAAGAGGTGTGGAATACACACGATACCTGGGAGTGAAAGGCAGAGGAGCCCCGTATGAGAATCGCAAGCTGGCAATTACCAAGCTTGCTATACAAAGCTGCAACCCCAACACCTTTTGAGTCTCCTGCCACCCAAGTTCCTGAGATAACAATATGCAAATCCCACCATTACCCCTGTCAGATCCTATGGAAACACCTAATCCAGCAGTTTGCAGGAAGAAGCACAACGAAAAGTGAAACAGAAGAGGGACTAGCAGTAGATAAGCAGACCTTGACGGTGATGAGAAATAGGGAAAAGGATAGGAAAGCAGAGAAGAGACAATAAGGACATGATTGTCCAGGGAATTGGGTGGTTAAAATGTAGAGAAGATATCCACTTGTAGCGGCCAAGGAAGTGGTGGCTCCTAGAAGGAGTGTCCTGCTATCAGAGGCTCCAAAGCCAAAAGGCAAGCTATTTTTAGACAACTGAAGAGCAAGTGCAGCAACGAAACCATAAGAAGCCATCCCCAGCAACGGGAGAGGAACACCTGGACGAACATTGTAAGAAGTTGAAGCAAAATCAGAGAACCTCTGTAAATGGGCATGGTAAAACAGTTAAATCCCTTGTGCAAGTGAAGCCTTGGGAAATTATTCATTACCGAAAACAAGGGAGTAATCACTTCCAAGTATGTCGGTACAGCCGCCGGCATCGCCAACAATGCCACCGCCGAGGGGGCAAAAGGCGGTAGAATTAGTGAGCTTAAGGTAAGTCAAGTAGGCAGTTTCGACGAACCCTAAACCTCCAAGAGCGGCCGACCAACTGTGTGAGGAAAGGCCCGGCGAAGCGGGAGATGATGAAGAAGGCGGGGGTGAAGAAGCGGGGACTTGGGTATCGGGTTTGGTGTCGGGGGAAGTCATGCACTTGACTCTCCATCTCAAGTCCACCTTACAAATGGAATTGAAGAGATTAGAAACTTGACATCCAAAACAGCACAAAGAAGGAGAATGGAGGATCAGGCAGATCAAAGAAGAGAATACCTTGGAGTGAAACGCTGCTGAGAGGGGACGAAGAGGGAGTGGGGAAGGAGTTGAGGAGGTCCGAGGAATGGATGTAGCAGAGGATATGCTCATGAACTTCGCCATTGTTGGATGCTATCTCTGTCTCTCTCTGGAGCTGTGAATGTGAGCAAGTGGTCTACAAGACTACTACTTCATTCTTCTGCTTCTATTGGGAGAGGACTGGTCAACCAATCAAAACACCAAACAGCTCGAAGGAAGTAGGGGTGGAGGCCGGTCGGTTCGGTTATAACCGATAATCAAAGGGTCGGTTATTGGTCAAACGAACTACCTCCCAACCCTACTGACCACCGACAGAAAGAGCGGTTAAGCATTCGGTTATCTCGGTTTTCAGTTAACTGAACGACCCCCAAGATCAAAACCATATCACCCAGCCTCCGAACACCGACCGAGTTTCGATTATCTCGGTTATCGGTTAGTGGATAATCGGCCAATTTCGATTGTAACCGGTCGGTTAATTGTTAACCGCTAACCGATTGTCCAACCCTAGAATGAAGGGTGCAACACAAAAATGAGTACATATGAATCAGGCCCATGATCGACTGTTGAACTCCTACCGGCTACGGGCTTTAATCGAGATTTTTTTTTAGCCACATTATGGGTGGTATTAAGACAGTGCATTATGGGGGACTTAATGGGTGTATTGATGTAGAGGAACCATTATAAGAGACATTGATGCCTTGTATGAGGAGAGACCTATATAAGGAGTCATCTTCCTCATTTTTACTCATTCCATCATTTTTTAGAATAATACATACTAGAGAGTTCTTCCATCTTCTTTGTCTTTCTTCTTGCTTTCTTTGCTTGCGCGTGAGTTTGAGAGAAGGTTGCTTAGTTCTCTAACGGATTTGAGAGTTAAGGCCGCACGACGGAGAGTAAGGTCGTGACATTACCCAAAGGGGATAGGTTCCCCCGCACCTTTGGTATTTTTACTCTCTGTTGTGATGTTTACTTTTGCATTTTGATTAGAAACCGCATTGTTCAGAATGGTAGGGTCCGCGGCCTTCAGTTTTCTCTTATCTGTTAGCTTGAGGTTTTCCTGTGTTGATACCCATTCCACCTCCTTTTTCATTCTTATGTCCTACATTGCTTGCATGCGTAGATTCACATTGTTGGGGACGGGGACACACTAGGTGCACTTCGGAGATTGGTTTCTCAAGTGAGAGATGTTGTTGGTGTCGAATTTGATTGATTGGTGTTATGCACCACTCTAATGTGTTTCCTTCACCTGCTGCTACTCAGGTTGTCCTTGCCGCGGTTGCGTCTCATTGTAACGGTCAAGCCACCACTTGATGCCTCTACAGAGTGAGGATTCTTCTCATGGTGTATATCCCTATTGTGGCCATCTCCTTCCTCCGTATTTAACACATTGAACCGAGAACCCGGATTGTTACTTTTCTCCTTACCCTTCCCTACATGCAGTTTTCTGGGGTGAGGGGGGTTTTTTTTTTGCTATCATCCACTCGCAATAGGGAGTCTCAGACTCTTTCACTTTCAGGGCTAGAGTGGTCTCCATACTCACTGACTCCACTAACTCATCTTGTGCATTACAATAACACTTGGTGCGCTCAAAGTAAGTTCCACATTGCAGGTAGATACTTTCAAGCCCTTCGTATTTGATAAAGTATTTTCCACATTTAGAGCGAACTGAGATAGCAAGGACTTGGTGATATCCACTTGAACACACTCCTAAGCATAGTCACTTCGAGCTCCCGAACTGGTTGCATGGTCAACTCTAATTGGTTTCCCAGTGTGCTGTCAAATTCTCATAATTGCCATCGAGTGAAAATAATGAATCGAAATATCCAATAGCGGATCCCATAAGAGTGTTGAAGATATATCATGGTTGTAGGGTTCAAACTCACTTGTCCATGAATGAATTGTAAGATAGTTATCTCCGACGAGCTACAGACCCCCCCCCCATCACCGCCCTATCATAACATATTCCACTCGTAAACCTTACCCAAAAGTAGCCTTGCCGAGGTGAAAATATATCGAAGGTCATGTTGTATAGTAAAAGTAGTCTGTGTGTACAGTGTAAGGGGCTTGGTGGGTTTTCTTCTTCCAATTGGTCTTGATGACCTCATCAGTCCCTACCTCTTGAAAAGTATTTAGCCTAAATCCAAATTATCATCTAGAAATGGTGCTAGATCAGAAACATTGAAGGTTGCGCTTATTCCATACTCTCGTGATAGGTCAAGCTTGTACGCATTATTTCCAACCTTCGAAATCACTTGAAAGGGACCTTCACTTCTCGGCAGTAATTCGAATCTCCTTTGATGTGGAAACATCTCCTTCCTCATGTACACCCACATCCAATCTCCTACTTCAAAGTGTCAAGGCTTTGTATGCTTATTGTCGTTCCTCATAATCTGCTATGTTCTCCTCTCGTTGTTCAATCATGCCTTTTCATGGAGATTCTTCGCATACTAGGCCTTATTTGCTCCATCCATGTTGACTTGATCCATCAAAGGTAAAGGTGTCAAATCCAATGGTGTAAGTGGATTGAATCCATACACGAGCTCAAAAGGTGAGTATTTGGTTTTCGAATGCACAACCATGTTGTAGGCAAACTCCTCGTGCGGTTGGCGGTCGTCCCAAACCTTGATATTGCTTTTTATCACTGCTCGCAACATTTGGGATAGAGTATGATTCACCATTTTAGTTGGTCCATCTGTTTGAGGAGGAAAATGCGTGGAAAACAAGAGCTTTGTTCCTAGTTTGCTCCACAATGTATTCCAAAAATAGCTCAAGGACTTCGCATCTCGATCAAACACAATGGTACGTGGCATTCCATGCAACCTCACGACCACATTAATCGCATCATCAGTTTTATGTAATGGAATGAAGTGTGTTGTCTTTGAGAAACGATCTAACAACACAAAAATTAAATCTTGTCCACTTCTCGTCCTCGGAAATCCCAGCACAAAATCCATAGAGATGTGACGTTAGGTGCATAAGGGATAGGTAGTGGCGTGTACAATCCATATGATTGCACCTTTAATTTAGCTTGTTTGCAGTCCACTCATCTAGCAAACAAGTTCTCCATATCTCCTTTCATGTGAGGCCAATATAAGTGCTCTTGTAAGCAACTTAAAGTCTTGGCTACACCAAAGTGAGCCATCAATCCACCTCCATGAGCCTCCTTCAACAAAAGCTCTCGAAGTATTGTGCTTGGAATGCATAGTTGATTACCACAAAAGAGATAACCATCACTTCTATACAACTTGCATTCTCCATGATTCTAACAAACCTTGTAAATCTCTCCAAAGTCTAAATCCCCTTCATAAGCACCCTTGATTTTCTCGAACCCTAGGTACTTAGCATTTATAGTCGTGATTAAAGTGTATCTTCTCGACAAGCATCCGCAACCATGTTGTATTTGCCTTGCTTGTAGTTGATCACGTAAGGGAATGACTTAATGAACTCAACCCAATGAGCATGTCTCTTGTTCAACTTATGTTGGGCCTTCAAGTACTTTAGATATTCATTATCAATGTGAATCATAAACTCTTTTGGCCATAAGTAATGTATCCTTATCTCCACTGCTCGAACCAATGCATAGAGCTCCTTATTATATGTAGGGTAATTAAGTGTAGTTCCACTCAACTTTTCACTAAAGTATGCGATAAGGTTCTTCTCTTGCATTAACACGGTGTCGATTCCCAATCTCGATGCATCACACTCTACTTCAAACGTCTTATTAAAACCATTCAACATTAGAACAAGAGAATGAGTGAGTTTTATTTGAGTAGCTCGAATGCGTTAGTTTGCTCTTCACTCTAATGGAATGTCAATGGGGCGGCTATGGTGCTAAAATTAGGAACAAATCATTGATAGAAGCCAGCCAACCCATGAAAACTCCTCACTTCATTCATGTTGGTTTGGGTAGGCCATGCTTGAATCGCCTTCACCTTCTCATCATCAACTACAACTCCATTAGAACTAACCACAAATCCCAGAAATACCACACTTGAAGTACAAAACATGTAGTTCTTAAGATGTTCATAGAATCGCTCCCTCCTCAAAGTCTTTAATACATCTTGCAAATGATCAAGATGTTCCTCCATGTTCTTCGAATAAATCAAAATATCATCGAAATAGACAACCACAAACTTCCCAATAAAATTTCTCAACATGTGGTTCATCAACCTCATGAATGTGCTCGACACGTTAGTCAAGCCAAAGGGCATAACCATCCACTTGTGTAGACCATGCATTGTCTTAAAAGCGGCATTTCATTCATCTCCTTGCTTCATGCGAACTTGGTGATAACCTGACCTCAAATCAATCTTCAAGAACACGCTAGAACAATGTGATTCGTCAAGCATATCATCTAAATGAGGTATAGGATGACGATACTTAAGTATATTTGGTTGACTGCTCGGAAATTAACAAACATTCTCCATGTATGGTCCTTCTTTGGCACGAGGATGACAGGAACTACGCAAGAACTCATGCTCTCACGAACATGTCCTTTCTCCATTAGCTCATCAATGTGCCTCGTTAAATCCTTCGTATCCTCTAGATTCGTCTTATTAGCCACCTTATTAGGAATGGTATCCAAGGAATGAAGTCAATTTGAAACGATTGGAGGTTGAAAAGCGCTAAATGTGAAGAAAGGGCAGAGATAACGGGTTGGGGGTGATTATCACAACCTCAGTTTGTGAAAATAGAGACCAGGCCGTGAAGATCACATGATTCCAGGAGCACTTCCATATCTCGCTGGCGGATCCATTATCACGGTCTCATGACCATGATCTTTATGAAGAGGCTAGTCTATCGAGATCACGACCACGATCTAAGATCCTGATATGTGCTCTCGGGCTGTGTAAAAAGACAGCATCTGGGAGAGAGAAATGAGAGCTGGTTTTTGGAGAAGAACTGGCTCTTTCTGTAGGGGTTCGACCCAAGACACCAAAGAGGATATTCTAGAAAGAGAGTGAGCTTGGAGCTTAATTGGAGGCTTGGTTTGATCTTGGAGTCAATGATTCAACCCTAGAAGATGAAGATCTTGAGTTATTTTTGTAATCTCAATGAACTAGACCTCTTTCTCTTAGGTTGATGAACCCTAGGTCTAGATTTTGGTTTGAATTTGATGTATGTGACATATTGATAATTGTCAAAAACATATTGATTATAAGTGCTTAATGAGATTATTTTATGATATTTTTGAGACATATAATGCTTGTTTTAGGACCAACTGACCTTGGAATGGCCATAAAACCATTACTACTGAGTGCCATGCATTTGTGTGTTTTAGGTGAGGAAAATGAGAGATGTGATTGTACAAGCAAAACGCAGCCATGGAAGCACGATAAAAGGCCTAGTTTTCTCCGCCATTAATTTCCCCATCCCAAAAGGAGAAGCCCGAGAAGGAATGGGGTACGAGAATCGTAGAGCAACAGCAAAAGGAAACTATGGGAATTAGTTGGTCCATCTTCTTTTTCATTTAGTGGGGAGAATTGGAGTTGAGCTAGGAAGGAATTCTGGAAAAAATCCAGAAATAGCACTGTTAATTTTTTTTTACAAAAATAGCACCCAAACAAGACAAATTTCAAAAGTAGCACCTTTGTCTATAAACTGCACACCAAAGCGGCGGTTTACACAGAAACCGCGCATGGAAGGCACAGTCTATGCTAGGGCGGCCGAGGAACCGCATTAGCTGGCTGCGGTTTCTTAAACCGCCCGATCGAAGCGCGGTCCAGCGGTGAAATGCATGCTAAGGGAGCGATCCAGGTCATGGATCACGAACCGCTTGCCAAAGCTGCGGTCTTCGTCCTCGGTAAATGCAAACCGTGTCCCGAGGGAGTGGTTTCTGTTGGGGAAAATTGACAAAACTGCCCCTGAAGGGGCGGTCCGAGTGCTATATAAACCCACTCTCCCCCTCCCATTTTTTCTACACCACAACAAATTCTTCCCTCTCTCTCTAAAATTATCTCTCTATCCATCCCCTCCCCCCCCCCCCCCCAAAAAAAAGAATGATTGGTTTGAAGAGGAGGGTATTTTCAAAGATGAATATCAAGTGGTACGTACTCATTTTACCAATTTTTTTTTGTTGTTATAATTTTTAAAATTAATCTATATACTAACTAATTATGCATGTTTTTATTCTCTCGTAGGTTGGGGACGACGAAGAGATATACAACCAACGATATTATATCAAGCAAGGACTGATTGATCCAAGCGTGTTGTACGACCAACCTAACCATCTTTCAAGAGATGTTTGGAATGATCACCAGGTACATACACGGATTAGTCTCCTTAGTCACTTTTTAATTTGGTTTATGTACTTAGTGGATATAAATTAAACTTGATAATTATTAATTGTATTGATTATTTTCAATGATTTGGTCTAATACAATACCTAGATTATTTATAAAGAGATGCATGCCTAAGGAAATAGGGTTTTAAGCGATTATGACAATCCTCCCATTTCCTGGGAAAATTGGATTTTAAGCGATCCTCGGATCTCCCCCCCTTTCTGTCAAAAATGGTGCGTTTTTAAGAATAATGTATACCTCTTCTAAGAGTCTAACGAGTGTTGCATTGTATTCAATTAAGTTATTGAAAGCAACCAATACGATTTACACAATATTTTCATGGATTCAATGTGTATGTTTTCAAATATTTATTTAAATTGTTTGTTATAAAAGATTACCTTTTGTTATAATTATATTTAAATTTTGTTTATTTAAACTGTTTATTACTGTTTTCAATGTGCATTGTCCTGCGATTAAATTATTGTTTATTTAAACTATTTGTTATAATAAATTTATAATTGTTTATTATTGTATACTTATGGGGAAAGTTAAAATTTTCTCTAGGATGCATACCATGTAATCCGCTATAGTGGTACGACCAATGTGCTTGCATATAACGACGTCATCTTGCCCTATCTCAAAAGGGCAAGGTGGGAGTCAATTAGGCACTTTTTAGGGATAAAGATCAATTGTCAACTTATCACCGCATTGGTGGAGAGATGGCGAAAGGAGACACATTGCTTAAATTTTCGCGAAGGAGAGTGCACCATCACACTAAAGGATGTCGCCATCCTAACCCATCTGCCCATCGACAGCAATGCGGTATGTTTGAGCGATCGTGCACCACCGGATGTTGGCAGGATGACCGGTTGGCAACATTTGATCCACAGCGTTTTGGGCCTCCGAGTGCCAGTCAAGGGAAGCGTTGATACAGAGGATCGCAGCGCACCATTGAGGAAGCGGCAAGTATCAATCACTTGGTTGACTAGGGAGATCAGGAACCGACACGACCCAGCACAAGGTGGGATCCCCTTAACCGAGGAAAGTTCAGAGTTTGAGAAGAAAAGATATGCTCGTATCTATCTCATAGGCATGATCGGAGGAGTATTCTTCCCCAAGAAATCCAACAATTTAATTAGTTGTGGGTGGCTGAAGATCCTCCTTGGTGATTGGGATGTGATGGGGAATTTCAGCTGGGCATTCGCTTGTCTAGCTCATATCTACCACCATTTGTCTAATGCATCTCTCAAAGCCGTGAAGGAAGTTGGCAGGGAAATGTTCATTGTCCAGTTTTGGGCATGGCAGCATCTGCCATGGGTTGCTCCGGTCCAACGTCCCGACAAGGATTGGGGTCCCAATCATCCCCTCAGACTAGAAGCTTATGGTTGTAGGTAAAATACTCATACCCACTCATGCTTTCCATAACCCATTAGTGAGTTATTTGTTTATAACATTTTCTGTATTCCTTATTATTAAGGTGGGTTGGAGCCTCAACATGCGACAACCTTTCCGATCACAAGTTGACAGAGTATCGTATGAGGCTAGAGAGACTTTGGGAAGGAGACGTAACTCTAATAATTCGAACTTCTTCACTTGTTATTAACGACATGTATGTTATAACTACGTTTAACTTTATGTGGTTATTTCTTTTGTAGATCATATATGATCCTTACCTTGAGAACATTGTTAACTGGAATTCGCAACAATTCCCTGGGCATGAATATCAATGGTGCGCGAGAGTCCCTCTCATTTGTCACCATATTATGGAGTTGGCATCTGCCGGATCGATGATTACGTCAATTTGGTCGGGAGCAATGCATGCCTCCTCCTTCGGATGTGACACACGGTGCTGGTTCGAGTGCGTCTCAACAAGATCCCCGTCCGAGTCCCTACTACAAGCCCTGCCCGAGCTCCTACTATGAGACCCGCCCGAGCTAATACTACAATCCTCGTCCGAGCTTTCAACAACCCCCCCGATCGAGCTCCTACTACGAGCCTCGCCCGAGCTACCATCAAGATCCCCGACCATCTCACCAACATGACGACACATCCTCGGGTACTTGGAATGATGGTTCCTCCTCGAATGCACAATAAGACTTCACCGAACTTAATCACCCTCACCATCGATGGCCCCCTACTCCCCATCGTATGAGCGTGCATGCCCCCGCCCGAATCCAGAGGAGCTACCTTCCAAGAACCGGCGCCTCCATAGCACGAACCAGCACTCTTCCACTGGGTGTCGCTATTTGCCACTGCAACCACCCTTTGTCACACTAGTCAACCATCGTACAAGGAGCCGAAAGGTGTTGCAACCCCATGAGGCACAGGGCCATCCTTGAGTGTTTATTTCAGTGAAATGAGTGGTGTTTTTAATTCCGATTGAGTTCTATGTACTTAACTTTTTTAATTTTTTTATATGATCAACAAGTGCCCGTGTTATTTTGAGTGTTGACTATTATTTCATTCAATGTCTTAAATGTGGTTGATGGTACAGAACAACATAATGGGGTAGAAATCAAAGACACGTCAGCCACCATCATACCGTTCACAATAAAGACAATTGACACACCTACAGGAAAAAATATGACGCAGTCTATGTTGCATTAGCAGAGTTGACCACATCAGGCCCTGGATTTTGCGGTCCTGTCGGTCCAGGACATTTTCGTTTATCATACCCTGACACTTTGCATATGGAACAATGCCGTGGGCCTCATGGTGGTCTTCCACTTTGATACATCTCATTCTGTATCCTCTTTACCCTAGATCCACCTGGTTCACGCCGCTGTCCGACCGGTGGGATGATTAACTTTCCTTCATACAACGTTCACTAAGCTTCATCCGGCAATGCACGAAAACTTCTTCCACATTAGTTTTTGAGCAAATCGATGTTGAAGAATGGATTGACGAAGTGACGGGGTCTTTGCTTCTGTGTTTGATTACGACCATTGCATGAGAACATGACCATCCTCTTCCCTGATACTTTTGGCAACAACACTCGCCCTGTTTTGTCCTGAAACCGACCTTCACTTCATGCTGACGACCACCCTGTCTACCATCCTCTGAATGACCGGTCTCGACGCTATACTCGCCGGCATCTCGATTCATAACGGTGACAGTGTGCCGACTACTCTTCTGATTGTCTTTTTTCCATTATTTCAGTGACTTTAATTGCATGGACCTTACCATGTGCCTCATCCGTCCTTGCCCAGTGGAGTAGATTGACGAACCATTCGTTCGTTTTCCAGAAAGTCATCTCAACAATGGCTGATATTGGCAGTGCCCAGACCCCCTTGTAGACGTTGTTCATACTCTCAACTGATTTCGTTGTGGCAATACCCCACCTGGTACCTCCATCCTTAGGGAAAGTCCACATGGGTAGGTCATGTTCATCAAGCCATTGCGCACCTTCAGAACATAATTCATGGATTTTTTTAAATTTTCTTCTTGAATTTCTTCTCTTGGTAGACAACAGCTGAGGACCATCAGAGAAAAGTCTTAAGTTAATGTAAATTTCATTTCAATAATTAAAAGAAATACAGACACACTCGTTAGACTCTTAGAAGAGGTATACATCTCCTTACACACACAACCCCTGTGACAGAAAAAAGGGGGACTCGAAGATCTCTTGATACCCGATTTTCACAGGAAATGGGAGGATCATTATAATCGCTTAAAACCCCATTTCCTTAGGCATGCATCTCTTTATAAAGAGCCTAAGTAAGTGGTGCACCAGAATAGAACACTCACCGGTCCACCATAGACTATTAGACAGTTTCTTCCGCTTGAAATGATGGTTTCAATTGCTCTTGAAGTGTCGTATGCACCACCTCTATGACCACTTCTAGGCTGGATCCAACCCTAAGATGGTAGCTCTTATCCCGGCGTGGCGATCATAGATAATTGTTAGGTTGGTCCTCATGGTGACGTGGAGGTGAATTTGTCGGAAGAACCATGCATAGATATCGGTATTCTCTCCTTCTACAAGGGAAAATGCTAAGGGAAAGATATGTATGTTTGCATCCGCTCCGCTAGCAATCAGGAGATAGCCCTTGTACTTGCCGGTAAGGAATGTTCCATCCACTTGCATCACAAGGACACAGAAGCCAAAACCATCAATAGAAGGCTTGAATGCCCAAAAAAGACGTTTAAAATGGCTTTTGTACAGGGATTCGGAGGCTGGATCTCTTCATCTTGGTAGCGAGGGTAGAAAACAGTGTCAGGGTTAGATGCCTCCAATGCCAAAATCAATCTGGGTAGGAATGCATATGATTCTTTCCAGTCACCATAGACGGCGGCCATGGCTTTCTGCTTTCCATTCCACGCCTTCTTATAGTTGATAATATATCCATATCGACTAGAAATGTCGGCGACGATGGCTTTAACCTTTTGGTAGGGCTGTTGCTCAATCAGATGCTTGATAGCCGCGACAACCACTCTAGACTTCAACTGCCGATGGCCTTGTGATGTTATGGATGAAACACATGTGCGAGTGTTCACCGCACGAGATATGATCCAATAGATGACTCTTTTGCTGTTGATGGCACGGACCCTAGCCTTGCATCCCCTGTGTTGATTTCGACATCTAACAATGAGCCTGTTTGCATTGGAATGAGTTGTACGCCATTCAGAACTCCGAGTCATTGCTTCAATCTCAATTGCTTCAGAACAGTGAGTCACCTCCTTCTTCTAACCAAATTGTTGGCCCTTCGTAAACCAAGTGAGTGGACCCCATAATGGCACCTATGTCGGCGTCGACATACCAATTCTCATTTGGAATGTGACTGTAGTACGAGACAGGTACACGGTCACGAAACACCTCATCATCATTTGAGTCTGACTCTGGGTCTGAATCATCAGCACCTTCAAGAGGATCAGAGCTGTCTGCACTGAGATTGCCTTCTTCTTCTTCTTCTTTGTCGGAGGGATCACATACTGGTGCCGGCAGAACATCTTCCATCTGATCTAGATAATGAAATGCTTCTTCATCAGCTCCGTAATGGTAGTTGTTAAAACTACCACCGCCTGAATGGAAGTTGTACTCGGGTTGGTACTGGTAGCCTTCTTCTTGGTTATCATGGTATCGTTGGACTTCTTCTTCATATGATGGGAATGATTGATGATGACCTTCACCTCCTTCTTGGTACTCATGATAACCTTGATAGGGATGATCTTCATATACTCCACCTCTACCATGGTAGCCAGATGTTTGGCCATATCCAGAATGACCTCCACCGCCTTCGACCGCCTCGGTGTAAACAAACATCTCTGCTTTGGAAAGATTATTGGCGTTCAAAAATTCAAGCATGGCATCTACTTCTGCCTGAGTGGTTATGAGGAATTCCTCATGCCACAACGACCCGCCATGTATGTTTGCATATCAATATACCATACGATCCACTCTCCTCGTGCCATCCATGCAAGTAACCTCAGTACACATTTGACAGAGCTCTTCAAGGTTCGGTCTCATAGCGACCTTCACTTTATGAAAATTACCATTGACGTAACGTACCCCCTTTTCGGTATCTTCCATGTAACCATTCCACCATAACCCAAGCGTGAACTTTCGGAATGCCATCTGCAATAAAACCGTAATTTAGTTAATATAATAAAAATTAAAAATCAAAACAAAAATTTATATAAAATAAACTTACGAAGTAAGCTTAATCGCAAAAAACTCTAAACGCAGTAGGGTGCACAACAATTAATTGAAGAAGAATAAGGAGATGTGTAAAGAGATGAGGTTTTCGGGGCTGCCTTTTATAGGCAAAATCATCACTGAAATCGCAGGGAAAGGGCGGTTTTCATCTGCCATGCAACCCCCACGTCTGTGAACCCATGCTTGGAGACATGTCGAGTGTCGGGGAATAATTTTGCCACACAAAAACCGAAGGTGGAGGGTGCGGTTTGTGTGTCGGCAAAACAAACCGCCCCAAGAAGAGCGGTTCTACATGAGCAGCTAAAACTGGCCCTTGGCAGAGCGGTTTCGGTTAGGGCAGCTTCAAAACCGCTTGTTGAGGAAGCAGTTTCCTCAAAGAAATAAAATCGCCACCTCATAAAGCGGTTTGTGGAAGAACCACCCCTCCTAGTGGCGGTTTATGGAGAAGAGTGCTAATTTTGGAATTTGTCTTGTTTGGCTGCTACTTTTGTAAAAAAAATTAACCGGGCTATTTTTGGATTTTTTCCAGGAATTGAGGTGTCAATCGAGCATCAAATTACCAAATACATTACTTTACTTTATTTATATTAATTGAATATTTTAATTAAATAAAATTTTAATTTATATACTATATTAATATTGTCCATGATCTCAATTATTAATTCTTCATTATTAATATTGACATTGTGTTGATTTTATATTTCATATTTACTTTTTTAATTCTATTAAAAAACTTAGTGTTCAAGTGATGTCCATGTTTAAATGTTTGTAATTTTCCTAAAATACACATAATATTACGTGAGTTTCATATTTTTTAAATTCTCTATACGAAATGAAAAAAATAATTTTACCTAAGTTTAGAAGGAAAAATGTTATTTTGAAAAACTATGTATTGTATAATATAATAATTATTCAAGTGAATTAGGTGAAGTTCGGGTTGAGTTGGTCGGGTTACGGGTTAGTCGCGTTCGGATCAATCGGGTTCGGGTTAATCAGGTTCGGGTTTAATTGGGTTGCGGGTCAATTGGGTTCGCGTTAATTGGGTTGCGGGTTAGTTAGGTTGCGGGTCTGTCAGGTTGCGGTTCAATCGGGTTGCGGATCGGACGGGTTACGGGTTGTTGACATTTAGTCAATTTGGGTTGTGGGCGGGTTGCGGGTCGGGTTCTGTTTTGACACCTATAAGGAATTCTGGGGACTTCAATGGGAAAGGAGTTAGACGAGAATGAGAGTTGTTGGGGGATTTTTTGCGCCCAAGTTGTTTGTCCTCTAGTGAAGAGAAGAAAGACAGAATTAATGGGCCAGAAGGAACCGAATTCACTGGTGTAAGGCCCATGGTTGAGCGGTGTTGGATTTAAGGCCTAAAAGGAGTAAATCGGGCAAGATCCAACGGAAGACCCAGGCGAGGCCCAGCAGAGGACCCAAGAAGGGTGCGTGCATAGGGAAAAGAGAATTGCGGGCGTCCAGTCTAGGATTGGACAAGAAGTAGGCCGCCTGACACAAAGTACCGTTGGTGGCAGGAAGAGAAGATCTTCCTAGGATATTCGCCTCGAACACTGCAGGACTGAACATTATTTGCCCGCCGTAGGCGGCCTAGATAATGTATGGCGTGTCTAGGGTGCCTGACATGGCATTTAGTGCCCCAAACCCAACCTGACTGACTATAAATACCTTCATATATGCATTGATGGTAACTCAACTACTTCCTCTCTCTCTCTCTCTAAACATTAACATA